GCCACAGCTGACCACAAGAGTTGAACACATAATCTATTTTATACAGGGCAGACATACTAACTACTATGCCACAGCTGACCACAAGAGTTGAACAAATAATCTATTTTATACAGGGCAGACATACTAACTACTATGCCACAGCTGACCACAAGAGTTGAACACATAATCTATTTTATACAGGGCAGACATACTAACTGCTATACCACAGCTGACCACAAGAGTTGAACCCACATTCTCAGGTGCCAACCTGTTGAACCCACAATCGCTCTGGTGCGTGGCAAGCATTATTATACCACTCATCATATTCATTTCATTTCATCTTTACTTCCTGTGTATCAGACTTGCAGGTGAGACTGAAAGACCGAACACAAAGATCTTTAACGATAGAGTGGAAGAAGCAACCCTACCATGATATTTTAAGCTACATGGTAAGAGCACACTATGTCATGTGAGATGCTACACACATAATGCTTCAGCAACAAGTTTTAGATTTTGTTTTTCAAATGAATTAATGCATCTGCTGAGAATTAAATACTGTAAAACCATTTATTTTCACTGACATTTAATTTCACTATTTTGATGTTTTGAGCATATTCACTGTGTTTTAATTTCATGAATTTGACAAGAACAAAATGAGTTTTATTGTTATTTTACATGTTCACATAGATTTAATTTTAGCGGATTTTACTTCTCAGCAAAAATAGTGAAATTAAAACCCAGTGAATAATTTGCATTTATAGTACGGTAGTTATTTTTGGACCATATCGATTATAATAAGTAACATTTTCTGAATGTCATTAGAGTTTTTGAAATTAGTATTGACACTGTCTTTTGTAGTATACATCTATCATTTTACATCTTGTATCACAAAGATCAAATCCAAATCACTTCTCATGTTGAGTTTTAATATTAGTTTTTTTAAGATTGAATTGTATAGAATGTCTGGTCTCTATTTTCACAGATTACAGTCTCGCTGGTTAACAGGCCGTACGATGATTTGTACACGAGTACATCCACTGTGACTCCATTTGAGTATTCCACTGGGAAAACTGAAGTGACAGCATCACAGTTAAAATCTGGAAGTGAATATGAAATCCAAGTGCAGCCATATTTCACTGATGGCCCTGGTTCTTTGTCTAAGCCATTCCGGTTCATGACAAAGATAAAAGGTAGGTTCAAATTGTTAA